GAGTTTCTCACACATGATCAGTGCTTCTGCAGTGTCACATTGGGCTCTGAATTACCTTTGTCCCTGTAAGGTAAGTATGCATTATTGTGAGATGTTTGTATTCCTTCTTTCCATTGACTCATTTCATTTTTTCTAATTTATCATGAGTTGACATATACAAAATAATGCTTAAAGCAATTTAGAAGCACAATAGCATTTTTTGGATGACTGAAGAAGACTGAGATATTGGAGACTGTTATATGACAACAGGATGCAACTGCGGATGCTATATGAATTTTGTTACAATTGGTGGCAATAACCGCTTAATGCATTGGAAATCCCAATTGTAGAGGAAAGCCAAGCAGGTGCCGGTCTAGCATTTTTTCAACCCAATTTATACAGTAGCAATAAAGAGAAAAAGAGACCATAATCCTTTCTTCTGCTTTTCAGAAAATATTGAATCTAGGCAATGGGCAGAGAAAACCACAAGAATATCTGACACTTAATTGTGAATTTATCACTTAGTCATAGGGTGCTCCTGCCAAGAAAATGTTGGCTAGAGATGTACTGGTGGTTATATTAAGAGGTTTAATCAGCTGTGTGTTAGCACAGTATTCTCCTTATTATTAGCATATGATCAGGCAGTGCTGACTGCTAGTCAACTAAGCAAGTAACTATGTAACTAAGTTACACATATGCTTTTTCTTTTTTTTTTAGCATAGATAAATACAGTAAAAAGTTTTAGGAAGCATGTCATCTAGTAATATTTTCCTAGAACTAATAGCTCAAACACCTGAATGAGTATTTAAAAAACCTATCCCTTTTAAGTTGTATTATATAGAGACAACATAATGAAATGTTAAAATGATATATAAGAAACTAACAGGTTATCATTTTGCTGACACGACTTGGGCAACATTTCTGCTCAGCTCACTTTCTGAAAATTTGCTAAAATTTTGTTTCTTGTTTTTGGCATAGAAGAGGTTTTTCACTTTGCTTAAGAAAAAAATGCCTACAATTTTTAAAGGTAGCGATATGATTGTCATATATTTGTCATAGAGTATGTTTCTTTCAAAGTCAACATATAGACTTTATTATTATTAAAGCTCACCTGTCGTGCACAGCCATTTATGAGCTGAATCAATATTTGAGTAGGCTATTCACTAAGAACAGAGACATCAATGAAACACTTCGTGAACATCCCTTTACAAGTTTCTGGTTCCTGGTAAATTGATAGGCTGTGTTTGCAACAGGAAACAGATTGGCTGTTACCCTTTGCACCAGATGACAGGTGCACTTGTGACCAGGTCATTTTACAAAGAATTGGCCTTTTCAGAATACTAAATAAAGCATTGTGCATTATCCTATACCACTTTTTTTCTGACCAGGGCTTCTTTTTCTTTAAGCTGGTAATAGATGGATAGAATTTCAAAGGAAAATTATTAGGAAAATTTGTATGAAAATTCTTAGAACATTCAAAAGATTTAATTTATTTTGAACATTTGATTTAGGAAGGAATGGACTTTACTGAATGAAAGCCACATACAATGTATTTTTTATCCTGTTCTGTCAAATTGTATTGTCATTGCGGTCAAAAACAAATGTCGATTTGACTCCAATAATGATTAGAAATATAAATTAACTTTCTTAGAACATTCTTTTTCTAAGAATTTTTGTTCGAAATTCTGCCCATCTATGGCCAGCTTTAAGCTGCAAACATGTAGATGTTTTACCAATACTAGCAATTTCAAAGCAACATTAAATATATTAAAAGCCAACCAATAGCCCCAATTCTTGAGATACATATTTGAATTATGCAGACCTCCTGCATCAGCCAGGTTGAGCATAAAGGAAAAGAGGTAAAGGGGGAACATACAGATTTTTAGTAAAAGTTCACCTGTACTTCAAGGTCCATGCCCCAAGGCTGCTGTCCTTGCTTCCCCACTTAGTCTTGATCCCTGATAAGGACAGACCCAGATCAGCACCTTAAAAAAATTATCAATGGCAGTCCCATCCTGTCCTGACAGATTCCTTTAAGGGACTGGAGATCTTATTAGATTACTACATTACATCCTAGTGCAGAGAAAACATTTAACAAGGAATCCAAACAAATAAAACAAACTGTTGATGAAGTATATTTTTAAAAACATACAATGCAAAAATGTATACATTGTAATATATATATATATATATATATATATATATATATATATATATATATATATATTACAATTTGTTTATTTTTATCAGTTAATAAAATGGAAAGCAAATAAACAGAAGAGAAATCCAACTCAAACCAATACTTGGTGTGACCACTCTTTGCATTCAAAACAGCATCAATTCCTCTAAATACACTTGCACAGGTAGGTTGCTCCAACCATCTTGGAGAACTAACCACAGATCTTCTGTGGATGTAGGCTGCCTCAAATCCTTCTGTCTCTTCATGTAATCCCAGACAGACTCAATGATGTTGAGATCAGGGCTCTGTGGGAGCCAGACAATCACTTCCAGGTTTCCTTGTTCTTCTTTATGCTGTATGTTTGGGGTCATTGTCCTGCTGCAGAATAAATTTGGGGCAATCACACACCTCCCTGATGGTATGGCATAATGGATAAGTATCTGCCTGTATTTCTCAGCGTTGAGAACACCATTGATCCTGACTAAATCTCCAACTCCATTTGCAGCACCTCCACAATACTTCACTGTTGCCTGCAGATATTCATTATTATACTGCTCTCCAGCCATTTGGTGAACATACTGCCTCCTGCTACAGCCAAATATTTCAAATTTTGACTCATCAGGCCAGAGCACTTGCTGCCATTTTTCTGTACCCCAGTTCCTTTATTTTTGTGCATAGTTGAGTCACTAAAGATGGTTCAAATGTTAGCTTGTTCAGCAGGGACAGGCTGAGATTCAAATAATCTGTGGGTAGGCTAGTTGTACTTATGTCAATCCAGCGACTGCCAGAAATAAATCCTATCGCCGCCAGCAGAAATCATTCTGTTTTGCCTGCAGGGAGGGCTCCCTGCCAGCAGAGCACAAAAACTCTGCAGGAGGGATACTTCCATCAGCACGTACTGTGTTCATGGAGGAATCGAGCGGGTTTCTGTAACCTGTGGTTGCAGGACAAAATACTGCATCATCTATGGTTGGCTTTAGACTTGTTTCCACATCACAGGTACAGGTGTTTGGCAGAAATTCTTTCATGAAGACCACTTCTGGCCAGACTTCTCCAAACAGTAGATGGGCGTACCTGGGTCCCACTAGTTCTTGCCAGTTCCTTGCTGATGGCACTACTTCCATTGTTGAAAGGAAATAAACATAATGTGTCTTTCATCTGCTGCACTAGGTTTCCTTGGCCTACCACTGCATCTAGGTTCCTCAACATTGCCCATTTCTTTGTGCTTCTTTAAAAGGGATTAAACTACACATCTTGAAACCCGTCTGCTTTGAAATCTTTGCCTTGGAGAGACCTGGGTGATGCAGTATTACTACCTTGTGTCTTATTGCTGTGCTCAGTCTTGTCATGGGGTATTATTTGTGACATGAAATTGTCTTCCACAACTTCACCTTAATATCAGAGTTTGGCTGTTCCTCACCCAGTTTTAACTACTTCCTGTCCGGACACTTTTACCCCCTTCCTGTCCAGGGCAATTTTCAGCTTTCAGCGCTATCACACTTTGAATGACAATTGTGCGGTCATGCAACACTGTACCCATATGAATTTTTTACCATTTTTTTGAGACAGATAAAGCTTCATTTTGGTGGAAAAGTGTTTTTCTTCTAAAATGTTGCAAATAAATAATATTTCATCATGAATCTTGGCCAAAATTTATTCCGTTATCTTTTTAGTTAAAAAAAAAAAATGCGCCAAATTAGTTTATAACCAAATTAGTTTATAACCAAAAATTATAATTTTTAAACTTTTTTTTACATTTTTATTTTATTTTTTTATATTGTTATTTATGTTTTTTTTTTTTTGTTTTTTTTTTTACATACTGTCACCCTAGCAGTACAGTGTCACCACTGTACTACTTGTGGGGGGTGATGAAGATTTTTTTTTTTTTTTTTTTTTACAGTGAATGCTTTTACATCCATATAGGATTTCTCTTTCTCTCTGTCTGCATTCTTGCAGCCACTGAGAAATACTGTGTGAGCTGTGATTGGTCAGACCTTGTCACATGGTACAAGGCTGTTGTGAATAGCCTTGTACCATGTGACCTCTGTGATCATTCACAGATTTTTACTCCTAGTAAGCAGTGATGTCACAAGTGACATCTTGCTTACTACTTTGCATGTGATCACTGACTGGCCAATCAGTGATCACATGATCGGGACCTCGTACAGAGCTCCTGTCCGATGATCGGTGTTTCACTGTGTCTGGAGGACACAGCGGGCATCGGATCGCAGTGCTGCGCGCTCCCAAGGAGTGCGCACAACTAGAAATAGCGGGTGCTGTTTATGAACGGCAACCCGCCCCTGGAGTGCCACCGTACTGCCGTTTAAAAACAGTAGGCGGACGGCAAGTGGTTAAGCCTCCTACCCAGCTATTTCTGTTTCAGTTAATGACTGTATTTCAACCTACATATGAAATTGATGATCATTAGCACCTGCTTTGTATAATTGGTTAATCATACACCTGACTCTAATCTTACAAAATCCCTGACTTTGTGCAAGTATACAATGTGTGCAAGTGTAAGAACTGATGCTGGTTTGAAGCCAAAGGGTAGTCACACCAAATATTGATTTGATTTAGATTTTTCCTATGTTCTCTCACTTTGCATTTTGTAAACTGAAAAAAATAAACATTTAAAATACATAATTTTTAAAGTACTTTTTCTTTACAGCATTTTTTCACACCTTCCTTTTGCACAGTACTGTGCATGAATAATTTTATATATATATTTAAACACTCTTTGAACATGAGTTCTATACATCTGTATTAACTTGCTATGTGCCTTCTTTTCTTTTTCTTGCTCTTCCACAAGGAAAGAGGTTATAATTTTTTTTGTTCTTCTAGAATGCCTCCCAGTATATTTGCAAGACATAGCTCAGAGATTGACTGGTGTGAAGCAAACTATCTGCATTCTGAATATGTGGCAGAATACTACAATACGGTATGTCAGTTGATGTACAAAATATTGTAATATGTATAAAATATTGTAATGTACTCTCTCATTGTTGGTGCAGACAAGTCTGAGCTGAAACATAATTAATGAGATTTCACTGTGAATTGATCATATCTCCAGGGTGGCATATGCATTTTAAAAGGTGTGCCATACCATTTAAAATGGTATCAATTAATATACAGTAGACAAAAATAGACAGAAATGTTACTGCCAGTATTAACCACGGCCATTATAATTACTTGTCAATTGAAAAAAAAAAGTGTGCACCAAATACATTACTTAACAGTCTTCTTATGAAAATAGTTTTAGCTGACTAAATAATCTCTTAATAATCTGTTCAATGTTTAGTGCACATCTTTTAGTGCACACATTTAAAATGTACTGCTAGCTGCTATCAGCTCTAATACCAACTATAACTTACCTTTGGTCTGGCATTTTTTAGGTTGAGGAAAAGGAGAGGTTTTACTGCCAGAGAGTTCTAAGAAATATTTTATGGTTCACTCACCCCACAGCTGAACTCAGTAGGGTTTATTTACTAAAGCTGGAAAGTGCAAAATCAGGTTCACTTCTGCAAAGAAACCAATCAGCTTCTAACCCCAGCTTGTTCAATTAAGCTTTGGCAATAAAACCTGGACGCTGATTTGTTATCTATGCAGAAATGATCCAGCTTTACTAAATAAACCCGTGTTTTACTCTAAAGGAATTTTTGTATGCCAAAAGACTGGAAAGTTGTTTTATCCAATCACATTTAGGATCCATAAGTTTATTACATGCCAAAAAAAATCAATCTCCATTTTCTCCATCATGGAAGATCTTGTTAAGAAAAATGAAAAGACCTCGGGTGTATGATGAATTGTACTGTATATAAAAAAAAAAAAAATCAGAATACCTCATTAACACGGGACTCCCTCCTTCAAATTTCAATCCATCTGTAGCTGATCCTGTTCCAGGGAAGTCAATCTAATAATCAACTTCTCTCAAACCAGCTTGCTGGAAAATTTGATGGAAACTTTTCGTTCGATCAGCACTGCAGCCAATAGAGTGCAGCGCTGACCAGTGTATTCTGACAGTGGAGGAGTCCCTGCTGTCAGAATACAATAACACTGAGCGGTGGATTCCTCCATCCACCTCACTTGTGTGGATAGGGGAATCCATTCAGGTTTTTTTCAATCAGACTGCTGGCTGTTTGAAAGAAAGTTGATCCATGTATGGCCAGCCTAACAGTGCGGATAGATTAATTTCTCCTTCCCGTCATTGTATTCAGACAGCTGTCAGAACATCTGATTGGATTCATCAATAATCAGCTGAAACTTGAGCTGTGTATGGCATCCTTTAGTTAGACAACAGACCGCATTCTGTGTCTGACATAAATTAAGCTTTCTCCTTTTAGCTAATTTTTAAGCATTTATATTCATATTTAATCATTTTATATAAACATATTTAAAAATTAAATTTTGTTCTTTGTTGTAGCATTTCATTAAAAATAAAAACACCTTTTTTGTAAATAACTTTGCCATGTTATGTAGAAGAAGTCAGTGGAGCGGTGTGTGATTATTTTGGGCTGTTCTAGGTTTCACTGGCTGCAGGCTCATCTGCTTCCCCTGCCTTCTAGTGGATTATAGAATGTAGAGGGCTAGAAGAGGCAGATCCATAGCCTGAATATTTATGTGGTCTTGGCCAATCTCTGGGGGAGAATGCCCCATAGGTGTCTGGGAAAGTGCATAAATAGTTTGAAGCCTGGAGCAGCAGGGTTCTTGTCCAGGAGGAGAAGTTCCCAAGTTTCACAAGTGCTCATTGAAAATCCAGCTTAGCCAGAGCTGGGGGGACTGTTCTAGTGCTCATTGAGGTCCCAGCTGTTTTATAGCTGGGGGGCTTGTTCAACTGGACCTTGCTGGAACTGACTGAGGGTTTTCACTGAGAATCTGGTCTACAGAGTTCTCAGGAGAAATACCTGGCTGACATTGGAGGCATCCAAGTATCCAGGGACATTTGTGAGTACAAACCTACGTGTAGCATTCTAGTGACTGTGCACTGTTTCTATCCCTTGTGGATTAGTGCCAGAGCCTGCTTAAAATGTTGCTCTATCCCTTAGTTGCTGCTGGAGGGACTGTACTAAGAAGTTTTGAGAAAGTGAAAAGTTTCCTCATTTCCTTTTTTTAAATAGTATTACTGGAGTATCCCACAGCTTCCTGCACCTTATCCAAATTCAACTTGTAATAAAGCATCAAAAGATATCCTAGACTGATGTGTTTTATAGACGCATAGAGCAGCAGCTCAGGAGTGAGCATGCAGCGGTGCCCCCAGGGCAAGCAGCTTTCTCTGGGGGTACTGTTCAAGGTGGAGTAGCCAGAGCACCAACAGGGGAACCAAAAAGAAGAGAATCAGGGCATTTGTGTGCAAAACTACTCCACAGAGCAGATAAGTATGATATGTTTGTTATTTTATGGAAAAAAACAAAAACAAAGCTTTAGTATCACTTTAACTCTGGTCAAACTAGAAAATAAGCATGTGATTTGGCTTTCTATCGTCTTTAGGCATTTAGACTGCATACAATATTGTCGAAAGAAGGCCCAAAGCTTAAAAGTAAAATTTGCCTCTGCTCCATAAGGTATATATAGCTGCGGGAACTAAATGGTTAAAGAGGTTACAATTCAAAGACCTGTGCAACTATAAAAGAGTAAATGATTAGTGCAGATACTAAATATTTTTGCATTAACTGTGAGCAGGTGCTTTAACTCTATATACATTTATTTTATCGTTATTTGCCATATGCTGTTGCTGCTTGGTTTAATCATTATACAGACAGACAGAGTACTTATCTGCTAAGTGTTTTTAGATCTCTGATTGAGGAACATAATGTATGACAGGGTCCCATAGCAAGCTTAAGACTTTTATTAATTAAAATGGAACTGCAGTGCATCTGAGTACCACAAATCAAAAATGCTATATAATCCATTTTTAAGATTCAATACAAACTCCTCCATCCATCCATGTCTCCCTGCTTTATTTTGCTGAAAAATCATTTTGAAAAACACCTCCTAGTATTTCTGCCAGTGACCATCTTGAGTAAGGGCAGATGATTCATGTAGCAGTTACTTCCTGGAATCCATGTGTCCTTAGCACAGGCATTGGCTGAGCTGAGAACCCTCCCTCCCCTCCCTCCCCTCCTGAAGACTCCTGGGAGGTATGAGATCATTTGCCTAGGCATGGAAACCAGGATTTAAATGAAGAAGTGACAAAAAAAAATGAAAACATGTAAATGATATACTTTCCTATCTATTTACTAGTGCTAGCAGCATAAGGATTAGAAATAGTCCATGTTGATTGAGAGAGTGAAATTCTGCTTTAATATGCAAATTAGGAAAAAATATACTATGGCAGAAAGTCCACAAAGTTCTTTTTTGGTTTCCTCATCTACAAAGTCAATGCAGTGCAACTGCACAAGTTAGCATGGTCAGGCTTATAGAATAGAGGCCGGTTCACTCCATAGAAACGCAGTCCAGATCCGTTCAGAATGTGTTTCCACTTGCACATTTTTGCTGCGTTCTGGTGCATTTTTTTATGCTTTCTGGTGTGTTTTTGATGCGTTATTTTTTTTGCCTCTGTTATTCATCAATTTACATAGAGACGTTCCAGTGCATTTTGGTGTGTTCCGCTGCATTCTGTATGCATCTTACCACGTTGCAGTACAGTTCTGTGCAGGAAAAATGCAGCCTATTCTATTTTGTTTTTCTGCAACCGGATCACACTGGAACTACAAGCACTGATGTGAACTATGACATTGCCAATCATATATCCTACTTTCTATGTGTTTTGGATGCAGAAAAAAAAGCACACTGAAATGCATGTAGTGTGAAATGACCCTAAAACAATGTACACAATGCAGCAATCTTTAACCTTTTTACCTCCAGGCACTGCCTCCCGTTTTGTATCTCAGATGGTTGAACCAATATTGCTATCTTTCTTATGCATATTACAGACTGGAGAGCTTGAGATACAGTCAGGTCCATAAATATTGGGACATCAACACAATTCTAACATTTTTGGCTCTATACACCAACACAATGGATTTGAAATGAAACAAACAAGATGTGCTTTAACTGCAGACTGTCAGCTTTAATTTGAGGGTATTTACATCCAAATAAGTGTGAACGGTGTAGGAATTACAACAGTTTGCATATGTGCCTCCCACTTGTTAAGGCACCAAAAGTAATGGGACAATTGGCTTCTCAGCTGTTCCATGGCCAGGTGTGTGTTATTCCCTCATTATCCCAATTACAATGAGCAGATAAAAGGTCCAGAGTTCATTTCAAGTGTGCTATTTGCATTTGGAATCTGTTGCTGTCAACTCTCAAGATGAGATCCAAAGAGCTGTCACTATCAGAGAAGCAAGCCATCATTAGGCTGAAAAAACAAAACAAACCCATCAGAAAGATAGCAAAAACATTAGGCGTGGCCAAAACAACTGTTTGGAACATTCTTAAAAAGAAGGAACGCACCGGTGAGCTCAGCAACACCAAAAGACCCGGAAGACCACGGAAAACAACTGTGGTGGATGACCGAAGAATTCTTTCCCTGGTGAAGAAAACACCCTTCACAACAGTTGGCCAGATCAAGAACACTCTCCAGGAGGTAGGTGTATGTGTGTCAAAGTCAACAATCAAGAGAAGACTTCACCAGAGTGAATAGAGAGGGTTCACCACAAGATGTAAACCACTGGTGAGCCTCAAAAACAGGAAGGCCAGATTAGAGTTTGCCAAACAACATCTAAAAAAGCCTTCACAGTTCTTGAACAACATCCTATGGACAGATGAGACCAAGATCAACTTGTACCAGAGTGATGGGAAGAGAAGAGTATGGAGAAGGAAAGGAACTGCTCATGATCCTAAGCATACCACCTCATCAGTGAAGCATGGTGGTGGTAGTGTTATGGCGTGTGCATGTATGGCTGCCAATGGAACTGGTTCTCTTGTATTTATTGATGATGT